ATTCTATAGATCTTGATTTAATGCTAAGATCACTGGAAGCTAATCTATTTATTCTATAGATCTTGATTTAATGCTAAGATCACTGGAAGCTAATCTATTTATTCTATAGATCTTGATTTAATGCTAAGATCACTGGAAGCTAATCTATTTATTCTATAGATCTTGATTTAAGCCTATCATACGAGTTATATTGAAAAAAATTAAGTTTCACATAAATTCATCAAAATGTCATCAATCGCATAAGTTTGTCCATGGAAAAATTGTCAGTTGTATCTAGTTGTCCTTCAAGCTAGACTGTTATTTTGTTGTAATAAAATGTTAAATTTATGTATTGGGCTATGTTACACTTTTTAAATATATGTATAAATTATATTTGATTATGTTATTAGCAAATTTTATAACTTTTTATTTCATTGTAAAATTGTTAATGGGTGAAACAAGAGTTTTCTTTTATTATTAAATGATTGAAAATAATGTACGAACAGCGAGGGATCATTTGATTCTTCGAGGATGCCCTTGTACACCAACCCTTGAGTAAAGTAAAAATCGAAACCCAATTTGTATTATTCAGTGAATCATCGACTCCCTTTCTAAACTCCTGCAAAATACTTGCTCATTTTGCTGTTATAAAAACAAACCTCCTAACTGGAGCCTAGCCTGTCTGTTTCCAAATCTTAAACTTGTGTTCTCTCATCCTGTTATCATCAGAACATGGCAAAAAGAAATTGGAGGCCATTAGCTGGTTGATTCCCTTGTTGTAATATGATAATGGCCCATTTCTGGTAGTATACTGAGCTAGGGATCTGATAAAGTGACAACACCGTAAAGCTTTTAACTAAATGGCCGTACAATAAATAAGAAGCAGGAGACGTACTTCTATAATTGGTACACTATTTGATAAGTACGTAAAAGGTTTGGAGGCAGTAAATGTATGACGGGGAAAGTTCTACCATGTTGAAATTTAAAATGTAAACTTCTGTATATCTTCAGTATAGCTAGAGCCTGTAGCATTTAATTATTGGTTTCGAAGAATAATCAGAAGTAGCTTATTTTCACTACAAATTTTATCTTTGGTAGAACAAGGAGCAAGAGTGTTTTCTATTATCAAAATAAGCAAAGCCCTGGACTTAAGAAGTTACAATACTGACTTGTCAGGTTTTTTCATGATTGTGTAGTTTAAACAGGCTAATATCATATGTGAAACTTCCTGAAAGTGTTTTACTTAATATAAAAACTTTTACATGTTTATTGTGTAAGTAAAGATCAGTGTATGGTCACAGTTTTATTGTAAGGAAAGTATCTGAAAAATATTTGTAGACCTTCAAAGAAATATTCAGATTTTGTGTGTGGATGGTTTTCAAGTTTGGACATAGCTTTTCAGAAAAGCACCTTTTTTCTCTGGCACAATAAAAGCAAAATAATATAAAGTTACTTGGTGTATGGCATTAAGTTGTTGTTTTTTGTTATAATTAGAAACTGTGTTAGTTTTTCTTTACTGCTGTTAAGTATATTGTTTCATGTATTTAGCTTGCTACAAATAATGGTATTTGATACCACATTGAACTTTATTAATATTGTATATCTAATTTAGTATCGTGCGTACGTCACCTTTGCCACTGTTACTTAGTAATCATGTGTTTATATGTTAAAGCAAGCTTGTTTATAACAGTTTAACATTATTGTTGGTATAAAGATAGCTTCTCTGATTTTTAAAATTACCGAATAATTTGAAGGTTAATTTTAAATGTAAACTTCCGTCCAATTTATATTTTGTATAGAATTTTGATTTATGTAGAGGGGAAAATACTCATGTTAAATAAACCTAATCTTTATAATAAATTTTGCACTGAAATCTCAAATATCAATATTGGTGATTTAAAAATACTAAAATATTTTATTATACATATTTTAAGATGTGAGTAGTAGTTGGTAACGAAACTTGTAATGTTGCTTTAAAAATATATTATTGTAACCATTGTCAATGTATCACAATATAACTCGTCCAAAGTAAGATAATTTTCAATATGCTGTTTGTCATTTATTATCTGAACTTGGTTATTAATACGGCTATGTATCACAATATAACTCGTCCAAAGTAAGATAATTTTCAATATGCTGTTTGTCATTTATTATCTGAACTTAGTTATTAATACGGCTATGTATCACAATATAACTCGTCCAAAGTAAACTGAGATAATTTTCAGTATGTTGTGTTTGTCATTTATTATCTGAACTTGGTTATTAATACGGCTATGTATCACAATATAACTCGTCCAAAGTAAACTGAGATAATTTTCAATATGCTGTTTGTCATTTATTATCTGAACTTGGTTATTAATATGGCTATGTATTACAATATAACTCGTCCAAAGTAAACTGAGATAATTTTCAATATGCTGTTTGTCATTTATTATCTGAACTTAGTAATAAATTATCTCAGTTTACTTTGGACAAGTTATATTGTGATACATAGCCGTATTAATAATCTGAACTTAGTTATTAATACGGCTATGTATCACAATATAACTCGTCCAAAGTAAACTGAGATAATTTATTATCTGAACTTGGTTATTAATACGGCTATGTATCACAGTATAACTCGTCCAAAGTAAACTGAGATAATTTATTATCTGAACTTAGTTATTAATATGGCTATGTATCACAATATAACTTGTCCAAAGTAAACTGAGATAATTTATTATTTGAACTTACACATGTTAGACATCGTCTCCACTAGTATATTTACACACACTACACATCAACTCAACTAGTATATTTACACATCATCTCCACCAGTATATTTACACATCAACTCTACTAGTATATTTACACATGCTACACATCAACTCCACCTGTATACATGCTACACATCATCTCTACCAGTATATTTACACATCATCTCCAACAGTATATTTACACATCATCTCCAACAGTATATTTACACATGCTACACATCAACTCCACCTGTATACATGCTACACATCATCTCTACCAGTATATTTACACATCATCTCCACCTGTATATTTACACATGCTACACATCAACTCCACCTGTATACATGCTACACATCATCTCTACCAGTATATTTACACATCATCTCCAACAGTATATTTACACATGCTACACATCAACTCCACCTGTATACATGCTACACATCATCTCCACCAGTATATTTACACATCAACTCCACCTGTATATTTACACATGCTACACATCAACTCCACCTGTATACATGCTACACATCATCTCTACCAGTATATTTACACATCATCTCCAACAGTATATTTACACATGGTTGTTATAATTTTCAGAGTTCTAATGTGAAATTATACGTTGTTATAGTTTTCAGTGTTCTAGTTTGAAATTATCCGTTGTTATAGTTTTCAGAGTTCTAGTGTGAAGTTATACGTTGTTATACTTTTCAGGAAGGACTCTAGTGTGCTTCCTTTGATGTTAGGCCCGGCATGGCCAGGTGGTTAGGCCGCTCGACTTGCAATCTGTGGGTCGCAGGTTCGAATCCTCGTCCCACGAAACATGCTCGC